AAACGGCTTACATGAGACAGGTTGCTCACCGTGGAGTGAGAGGCCTTTTCATCTTCAGCTGGGCCCTTCCCAGCTGATGAGGTCTCACCTATACCTAGAGCATCCTCATCAACCCCATCTCGGGGAGCCACCCTCTCAGTCGGTGCAGCCGAACCTACCACCCCCTCGTTGACCATTCTTCCCACCGACGACCTTGGACTACTGGAACAGGGCATCGTAATACCCCCGTCTTGTCGATCCTCTGTCATTTGGACACTGCTGCACTCATCAAGATAATCTGGATGGCAAGAACGATAGTGTCGTCTGAGGTTGTCCCTCCTTTTGTCCCTGTAGCTACACCGCTTACAACACAGGTACAAGGGCGGCCCATGGACTAGTCGAAGGTGAGGCCATAACCCTTGTTTGGTTGTGAAGGTCACCTTACATCGGTAGCACTCGATGGCCATCTTCTCAAATACAGCTGCAATAAACCAAACCCAAGAAACAAAACCACATTTTAGTTTAATAACAATCCAATCAACTTAATTCCTCAAACAACCCTGGGGTTATAGGCCATCTCTCCCCCTGGGGAACTTTTAAAACAATTTATAATTTCCCCAAATCCTCCCTATATCGTGCCGGGAGCCGGTGTTCCCTCTGAGGGTACCTTCTGGGAGCTTCTGTCGGGCCATTCCCCTCGTCCGTGTATCCTGAAGGACCAACCGTTTGAGCCTCAGGAGACTCATCACTTCTTCCATGAACCTTACTCACTACATCATGTACAAGCTCTACGCCAATAGTTTGGGGACCCCTTGCTATTTCCTGCATCAAGGGTTCCTCAATCACCTTCGGCTCATATCGCCATGGTTCTAGGGTCTCGCCAGTGTATGGTTTGAGCCTGTTTCCATGAACTACAAAAGCCTTACTTCCAGGCTTCCGTTGAATCCTGTAAGTTACATCAGAGAGTTTCTTGACCACCAGAAATGGTCCATCCCAGCGAAGTTCTAACTTCGGGGACCTCACTTTCTTCTTGGACTTATTGAAAAGCCAGATGAACTGACCTTCCACCAGCCCTCCTCCATGCACCTTGTGGTCGTAGTTCCA